CTTCCTATGCATTGTGGGTATGTTCGTTTCGTTTTAGATATTTTATATGCTTCCGCTTTTTATGTAAACCCGTTCTTGTCACCACAAACGAATCACCGTTTGTAAGCGTCATCCGTAGCACTTCCGTACCGTTTGCGTAGCACTTGCGTACCATTTCCGTACCGTTTGCGTAGCACTTGCGTACCATTTCCGTACCATTTGCGTAGCATTTCCGTACCGTTTGCGTAGCACTTCCGTAACGTTTGCGTCCAAGGTGGAACAGCGAACGTGCACGGGTCTGTACTTGTTTTGGCCATGTTACAAGGCCCATGTATTACACACTGATTATTTTATTATCCACGGCTAGCAGCTGAGAGTTGTCATTTCTAAGGCAAAAATCTCAATGACATTAGCAGTCAGGGATTTAATGAAAGACAAAACAGCTATTTGTATATATAAACTCGCTCATTCATACTTAAAAATGATGCTGCTTTTTTTTTTGGCCAAAATGTTTAGAAAATCGAAGCTAACGTCTTTACTTTGTCATCAGATGCCAATCCAGTTTCAGTTTTTCTGTCCGGTTGCTTGTACCGGGAAATAGTCTAATGTTCTGGAATCCTGGTAAATACATATTGTTTCCGTCAATAATATAAGCTGACCGCAAAATGTTAATACAGACCGGAGATTGACCGACCGGTTTAGATACAGCAGCCGCACGCTGACCGTCTGTCCATGTAGCGGGTGACGTGCGCTTGCCAATGTCAGTTAATAATGTCACTCCCCTGACAGATTGCGGAACAAACGTCCCCAATTGGTGTTAGGTGTCGGGGGATCGACTCGGTACACACGACCCTGTTACAGAATGTACAAAAGGTTATTTCCGTAACAGCGACCAAATAAAGGGGTCGTCTCGGAACACACGAATCAGCTTTTATACGTGCATGGCCTCAGACAACAGATAATGCTTCCGGATCGATGCATTTTGGCTCGTTATTGTATGAGTTTTATTTTTTTGCACGTGAATGAAATGCATCTTTATGATACATGTGTACCGAAATATTTACATTGGATCTTCATTGCCAAGACCAGTTCCGTATTATGAGACCATAACGCAGGCGTAGTGATATATTCACGTGTCCGACTAAGTTCCGGATCGTTATTCCCGACTGTACTAGCAAGCAGATAAGCAAATTACCAAACATGATACAGTATATTCACCGTTTTATGAATGTCTATTATAAAATGTGAATTGAATGTATTGATTGATTAAATTATGGAAAACGTTCAGATATTTTTGTGTTTAATTCAACGAATTATATTTTTTACGGAAAAAGTCACGAGACAACGTTCAATGGGGAACTCCATGGGCTGTTCTACCTCTTGAACAAACACCCCAAAATCGAATTTAAAAGTGCGCTGTGCTGTAAGAAAAGAAAATGAAAACAAAATGGAAAATGTAAATATAATAATAAATCAGCATTCTGTTCCGTGTTATAGTCCTATAACACAGAACAGGATTGCAGACAAATAATCATAATGCGCTTTTGCGGGTTATTCATTTTGTCTGCAATCCTTTTCCGTGTTATAGGACTTTACAGCAATCTGAGCAGAATGCTGTTTAATGCTTAAATGAAGTTCACACATTTTCCCTGTAATTAAAGTGGTGGATTAGTTTGTTTGAAATTTATTTTGGTGATGGAAAAATGGTATGTTGTTGGACTCTTGAACATGATTGGGTTTGGTTTAATTTTGTAATGTACATTTAGTACAAATGGGTTATGGTGGCTGTACAATTATATTACAAAAATGCCGGTCATGGAAAGTTTTTCACCACAAAGGTGTCCAGGTATTCGAACGAAAACTGTGAAGATCTGGTATCGAAGAGCAAAATAGTTGGTAAGTTGGTAAGAACTTAGGGTGCAATAGATTGCAGTTTGAGACCTCGGTACACACGGTAAAATTGCAGAAATTGGGTTTGGGCGAATATGGTTACATCCGCGATATCCAGGGGTTACGCTCAGTTTAGCTCTCTGCACCCCTGGAATATGTCATAGTAAAATTGAAGGCACGAAGATAGCTGTTTGATTGGTCTCGGGTAAAAAAACCTGACCAATCGCTAGGCTGATACCTTTCCTTTGAAGATTACAAAGGAGAGACGTCCGAATTCAAAGCTTGTCATTTTTTACCGTTACGTGACCGCGATATTCTTTTGATGTACATTTTGTATATCAAAGGATCGAACTGATGCATACTGAGCCTTCAATTTTGCTATGACATATTCCAGGGGGTGCAGAGAGCGGAAATGAGCGTAACCTCTGGATGTCGATGATGATAGGGTTAGAGTGGGCTATCTTGGTACAGACAATCCACTAGCAGAGACCCCCCCCCAACCCCCTTGCTAAGTTGTACTGTAAGATAGGCGTTTCGATACCAATGTCCATGTTTTCAGTGAACATGAAGGTACATGTAGGAGAGGTTATATTGTATCTCTGTACTCAAAACCCGATCGCGAAACCTCAGCCCGGCGTTTTTTTACTTCCTACATAACGTGTCGGGGAAGGGACTGGGCCCTTTTATGCATCGGGGTTTTACTTTACGTGCGATTTGGTACGCGGCACGCTTTCATTGTCGTCTTGTTGCAATCGACCTGTTTACAGATGAGTACAGAGGAGGAAATTTGTCAAATTCTGACAAACGCATCGTATAATACAAATGTATCAGTTACACTACATGAAGTATATATGTTGTACAGAGCATGTACAACAACTTGAGTTATCTCCCTTCATCCGTTAAATGTTCGCCGGTGTAGTAATAGCCTTAAGCCCCTATCTCACATACACGATTTAAGAAATTTCGAACACGATTTCGGAAAAGTTGAAAAATCGTGTTGATTCGCGCTCGACCTTGTGGTTTATGCCAAGCACGACCCTCATACGACCCTCATACGACCTTCATACGACTGAACACGACACTAATACGACCGTCATAAGATATTCATACGATACAACACGAATTAACCTCATTTAACACGACCCCAATACGACTGTCATACGACCAAACACGACTGTCATACGACCAAACACGACTGTCATACGACGCCCATACGACTTAACACGAATCAACACGATGTCCATACGGAGAGGAGGAAGTACTCCAGAATTCGGTATAGAGCAGTAAGCTTTTCGCTGTCGTCCTTGAACTTGACAGACTTGACCTCACCCCTGTCTATTTTTACCTTCAGTATGTCCTTTGGTTTATTCTTGCCAGTTACGAAGTCGAACTTGTCAACGACACAAATGAGCAGGTCGCCTTCAGTTGCAAGAGACAGTCCCACAGGATGTAGAGCTATGGCTTTGATGGTGGGGTTAGAGGCAGCGTAGGCGTCGCAAAGAGAGGAACAGGAAGAGATTCTGGGTTCGACCATGGTTGTTGAGGGGCAGTTTGACCACCTAATGCAAGAACTGTATCGTGAAGACGTGAATACATTTACCAACTTCTTGCGTGTCACTCCGGAGATGTTCATGGAACTAGTAGAACGCGTTGGTCCTCGTATTGAAAAAGGGACACCTTCTGGAGAAAAGCCCCAGAGCCTGGGCTTCGCCTAGCTATAACACTGCGAGACTCCTACCGATCACTTCAATATGGTTTTAGAGTGACTGCTAATACCATATCTACGGATATCTACGAAACATGTGAGGCTATTGCACAATATTCAGAAAGGAAAACGGTGTAGTCATGCCACAAACAAGTTTCGAATGTGGGGATCCTTAAAGCACACGGCAGCTCCATATATAGTGTTAATTCTATATACCTAGCGTTAAGCACGTGCATTTTGTGTGGTACAGGACTAACACAGGAGACGCCATTTGCATGACGCATGTTTGTGTTATATAAAATAATGTGTCATTATGAAAACAAAATATACTTCAAATTTAACCCCCAGTGATTTCGGGCAGGTCACCAATATTTGGAATTTAATTTACGTTGTTCACACCTAAATGATTTTACTTTATGTGTAACTTCGGCGAAAATTTAATAGTAAATTAAAATATCAACCGCTGCGCCCATTTATATACTTTTTATCATTTTAAATTTAACAAGGTTGAGTAGTTTTTCGCCATCGACGACATCGTTTTGAATCCTGAGACGTGAGATATTTGTCGGTGTGTTGACAATGTCATCACTATTGAAATTGTAATAGAGGTGAGCCGATATGTGACGTGTGTCAATATGCCGAGTTATGTATTCAAATACAGGTATTGTATGTACACCGCCGCAAATATGACCTACATGTAGTCCGCCTACATAGAGGTTAAAGGGACATGCTACACGTTACTTAGCCAATAGGTCTTCAATCCGAAAAAATCAGTGTTATACATGTACGTTGTATTTTTTATGTAATCATCCATAGTTTGTGTATTTGTGATGGAAATTCCGAAAAAAATGTAAGCAACATTACAAATCATCTTGATATGTTAGTCAAGAACGTGATCAAAGCTGCCAAAGGTCAGCCAGGTCAACGCATGCACTTTTTTTCCCCGGCACCATTACAGCTTTTATAAACCAATTCTGAAAAGAAAACCATACCTTCCTGGATTTTATGGGGGGGGATTAAGATAAAATGGAAAATGATATCGTTATCAACAACAGGGGTATGGGTGTACAAACTCAATGGGGCTGGACCAGGATTCGAACCCCGTACTTTTATATTATACTACAAGTACATGTATCTCTCTTACCGACTGAGTAACCTAGTCAACGGAATTGACCTGGCTCAACTTTTCTACAGTTATATCCAAACGTAAGCTATAAAGGGTGGAGGTTATCGTAAATACGACAAGCCAAAATGCAGGGGGACAGGCATCCTTAATCAAATTTCATAATTTGACGATATATGTAGAGATGTCACTTTAACCTTATCATCATCGTCACGTGCACATTAGATGGTGACGTATATAAAATAAAAATGTTTAACATGATTAAGGGTAGCCTTTCTAGCTCTTCACCTTACCCGCTATATATATAAATAGACGCTCCTAAAATTGAAAAGTAAACATTCAAGTAACGAGAAGATAAAAGCAGATTGCCTATTGAGAATCATACAGTGAGATAGGCTCTATCGAAGTTAGCACGGCAAGGTTTGTAAAGTATACCTCGTACTACCGAACACTTGAACGTAAACGTATAATGGCGGACCTGACACAAACAGAGGAGTGTATCGAGGCTATCCGAAAGGCCGCAGAGGCATTGTGTTCGGAGACAAATAAGCTACGGGATTCCATGATCAGGCGTGTAACACGCCAATATCAGGGTAAAGTCAGCAATGGAGATATAGGTGAGGCGAACGAAATCGGGGGAAATGATACAGACCTGCCATTGCATTTCCAACCCGGAGACATCGATGTCCAGAAGATCCAGGCCATCCTCGGGCGACTTGAAGCCAACGCGGACACGGCAAAAAATGCAAGGCTACGGAAAATGGCTTCATTCCAAATCACAAACCAGTCAGTGGATGTGTTGGTATCCACTTCCAGAGAGCATGCGTGGTTGTGCGACCATCTGAAGAACCTCTGTTTGGTCGACAAGGACGGCAAGACATTGGTCAAACGGAAACTTGATCACGTGCCGGAATCTATCACGATCTCTGACGACGGCACAGTGTACTTCACGTCCTACCGGGAAAAGGCTATCAAGAAGCTGGACGTGTCGGGAAAGATTACATACGTTCTGAACACGTCGCCTCTACATCCTGTGGGACTGTCTCTTGCAAATGAAGGCGACCTGCTCATTTGTGTCGTTGACAAGTTCGACTTCGTGACTGGCAAGAATAAACCAAAGGACATACTGAAGGTAAAAATAGACAGGGGTGAGGTCAAGTCTGTCAAGTTCAAGGATGACAGCGAAAAGCTTACTGCTCCATACCGAATTCTGGAGAATACAAACGGTGATGTTTTAGTGATAGATGGACTGTCAGAAACCTCTGGACGATTAGTGGTGTTCAATGATGTAGGGGGCGTGAAATTTACCTACAGTGGTGATGATACCGGAAATGGTCAGCCTTTCTGTCCAACAAACATGTGCATTGACCATATCGGAAACATTTTTGTTGTGGACGGTGGGTCACACTGTATCCACGTATTGAACAGTGTCGGGGAACTGCAGAGGAAAATCATCTCGGATGAGATTGGAGGGGTGGAGCCGACCATTCTGAGCATCGGGCAGGACGGGATTATGTGGGTAGGACATGCTAATGGCGAGGTCGCTGTGTATAGGTATAGGCGATCTCACAGAGCGTCCGGAGTGTCGCGGGTGCGAGATGAAAAGGAAACATTTTTCTGAATGGAACATACTGTCCATTGTACGTTTTGACCTATACAACGCGATATTGTGTGTATCGGATGTATCTGCAATAATAACACAAATATGAATCGAAGATTCAGTAGGCTTTGTTGAAGGCAAATCTAATGGATTGCAATATGAGTTTAGATGCTTGTTGTATAATGAATTAATCTCATTTGATACGTTTTAAATTCAAAGGACTGTGATTAAGTTAACCGGCAATGCATGGTTCTTTATGTGTAAAAGTACTGAAAAAGAAACTGTAGCACCCTATATATATCATACATGTGTTGCCGAAAATTAGCGAAAACTCCTTTTTTCAAATATACCATTTCCAATTATTGAACAATAAATAAATGAACTACCAATCCGGAAGTTGAGAGGTATCTTACATTTTACATACGAATTAGCGAGAAACATTAAGAATATAATTCTATGAATTAAAATAATAGAATATTCAACCAAAGTGCTGTAAAGTCGATATACAGTAATGCAGGAAATGTATAACCATGTGCTTACATTTGTAATTGTGAAATCACGAACGACAAGTCTGAATTTTCAAAATGTTTAGCTCAAAAGAATAAGAAGTCTGTCTACAACTTTATTGTTAAAGAGTGCTGTCAACTTAAGTGATGTACAGAGATAGGATTATAAAATCGAGTTAATGTTTATGGGACGTATTACACGATACGTTATCTTAAGAAAATCGGACGAAGATTGCGCAATGTACACAGGTTCATACATGTGTGACATTATGTATCCAGCGCGGATCTGTGAGTCACGGGTATGTATAGTGGTTTATCAGCTATGATTCAAGTCATCAACTATCCACAGTATATCGCATTGGTATGTGTGCAAAGGTTATCAGCTACGATTACAATCTTTATTTCATCAGCTCACCACTGTCAAGATTATCAAGAAATCATGTGTTATAAGTAAAATGTGATTAAAGGGAGCTTACTCTATTTCTACATCAAATAAAATGTACTTCTAATGGTAATAAAGGAATTCGAAGGTATAGGCCTAGCGGTGCCTCCCGTCTATTTTTTTTTAAAATGTAGCATTTGTACGTGTTCACTGGAAATTAAAGACATATTATTTAACTGCATCCATTTATCAATCAATATAAAGCGTCGGTACTAACTTCGCTACAAATCTATATACATGTAACTAGTATCAGCCCGCAGTGAATAAACATTGACAATCATTCAGCAATATCACTAAAAGGTGAAATATTTTTTTTATCCTAAACACAGCTTTTTTTTTAAAAAAGTTTCATTGTAAGTATTTGAAACGTTTCAATACATTTGTTTATTGCGCATTGTTACTTACTTTACACTTGATTTGATTTGATTAAATGTCGTATATAAAACTTCGAATTTAATAGTAAGACGCAGAGTTTTTCATTTAAAGTGATAAGGTTTTTACTGTGTAATTAGCAAGCTCTCTGCGTAGCTGAACATCGATGCACATTGAGATATCAGTTATGTAAGCCACGTACATGTACTATCATTTTCGCTTTTATTTTTTAGCTGACCACGAATTTAAATTACATATACCATTGTAAAAACAAACTGATGACGTTTAAACACTATTGACTTGAATTACAATGATTAGTTACAGAGGCAAACGTACGATATATATGTTTGAGCTGGCAATAAATGTCAATAGAGAATGATTGCTAAATACATGTAAATGCATCCAAACCACATACTTTGACATGTTTCACCCGTTCTTTTCAAATTTGCAGTTTTAGTAATTTTATTACTATTTTGATTTGTTGATGTTGAAAATTATTTTGTGTAGATAATTTATCACAAGGGCTTTTCCTTTGAACACATAGACATGTACATGTAATACGTACCATAAACAGGTACTATCCACCTATGTTTAAGCAAAGTATTAACTGTAATGTTTTACAAGTTTCAAGTTTTATTCAAACTTTAGGTCATAGGCCTATTACATGTGGTACATTATACAACATACAATGAAAGGATATTATAATCTACATTCTTCATGATAATTAATATATCTATTTAAGGAGTTCTTAATTTTTTAGACTCAAAGATAAATTTTCCTAACATACATAGTTGTTTACTGTTATGTACACTTACACAACTGAATAGCCGTAAAAACAGAAGGATTCTTTCAATAATATTTTTTAATAAACCACACTCTAAGGATTTGAAATTAACTATAAATTAATAAAAAATGAAGTTCATCTTCCACTTCAGTGGAATTACATTCTTTAAAGTGCCTTAGTTCTCAATGAACATTTCTATATCTTCCCGTCTCAATAGCCAATGAATGTGTAGAAGTATATAACCTGGTAGGACATATTCTATATTTAACAGGAATAGGATTAGTAAGATAAAATTGAAGAGAAAAATATTGTACCAAAAAATGTTTATACAAAAAGCATTTTGGCGAACTATCAAATGAAGTTTGTGTATAGACTGTTCACTCTGATCAAAATTCTTTGTTTCATCTCTAACAGAATTAACTTTTGATTATACTAACACTGTATGGATTTAGCCATATATTTCCAATTCCTCAATTATTTAAGTCATCCCTTACAGTTTTAGCCAGATTTTAACCATTTCTACCACTACAACAGTTTACTCCAAAATCATAACAATTTTATACAATACAATTTTCACTATGTAAAAGTTTGAACTAATATTTTATCCTTCCGAACTTTTTGATTACCTCTTGGGGAACTCAACCTTATTCACAATATATCATATTATTATTTGATGATTTTATTTTTTACTTTTAATAAATTCTTGAAGAAGTTCAGATGAACATTTTCTACATCTAGTGCATTACATGCACCCCATGCGTTTTATTGTCCAAACAACATGTATCTGTACCGTCCTGTCTCGTGTTAGTTTTTTGAGATATAAGGGAGACAACTTTTATAAATAGAAGAATACCGCCGCAGTTGTCTCTCTTTATCCAAATAATGTACGTGTGTAGTCCTATCGATGCCAGAAACTGAAACCATGATTTCGTAAGTCACTTTATCGGCATACATATAACATTGATAAATCATTCCTGAAAAAAATACATATCTTGCTGGGCTTTCCTGAAGAACAAAAGAGATGAAATAGACAAAACAAACCCCCAAAAAACAAACAATCATCAATAGTTTTCTGTGTGCAAAAGAATCAGCTTTGCTAGAACGGGATTCAAATCGTGGACCTCACACTGTTCTACTGTCGCTCTAAGCGGCTGAACTACCCGGTCAACAGAGGTGTGGTGGATCAACTGTGCTACCGTTATATCCAAAACGAAATGAAGGGGAGACTACTGTGGACACGAAAACCTAGTGTGCATTGGGATCCGTAAGTCTGACAATAAAAACAAACGCGAGACGCATACAGTTTATGTGACTATTAATCAAAATACAGATGTAACAACAAGTGTAGAGATGTATTCTATATGTACACACAAATATAGAATATTAAAAGGTATTCCCGATTTTACGATTGCAAATCGTCATGTACAATATCATCACAGTATCTTTTACCGGCTGTGGCCAAACACAGATATGTAAATTGACTTGGTCATGTAAACTGATCAGAAATACACATCCTCACGTATGTAGATGACGGAGAATCTAACGTACACAGTCCTGTTTTGTTTTGTTTCTTTTGGGGTTTCCTATCCCCGCAGCATCTAAGGTGCATCATAATTCGCTCTATATAACACTAATTGCAGTAGCGCCTCTAATTGCCCACCTACACAGTTCTAGTATAGGCTAACTACACATAATGTAGAGTTCTGGTTCTGGAACGCACTACCTACAGCACGGCGTGAAATGTTGTTAAAGACTATAGCTATTAACAACAAAAACCTCTGTAACATGTACATGTCGGAATGATTCCCAGCCGGAAAACATCCCCTCTTTCTGTCATAGTGTTAGTAATCGGCAACCACTCATGATGTGAGGTCAAGTTCACTTTCGATGTTTTTATTGTTTTATGCATACATCATTACGTACATATCTAGTATACAAAAAAGTGTTGGCATCTTTTTTGCCAATCTGTATTTTGTATTGTTATAGTGATCAGATGTAACACTTAATATTAATTCGCTTTCCCGGTTTCATATACAAAATTAATTCAAGTATGAAAGTTATATGAGTTTGATCTTCCATATTTTAAATACAATGTATCAAGAAATAAGTTTATATTTATTTCTACTTTCAACCGGCACGGATTTTGGCATTTAAACAAAAATGGGTACATAAGTACGTCATATTTTCTTGCTTGTGCATGATATAACATATGCCATTGTCCCTGAGTATATCATTCTTTTTATCTAGTTCGACAGAAGCAACATAGTGAGATCCTAAACCTGCAGTCGTTCACAGGAATTTATAGGGAGTCACTAGATCACGATTTTATATTCTATAACTTGTAGATTATTTATTTTTCTAATACATTTATATTTATGGAAAACTGCGTTTAATTTTATATTTTTCTTTATTTCGATACCTTTTCAAGCTATATTGTAAATGTGATATCAACATTAAACAATGTATTTACTTGTTATTTTAATTTTAAAACGATTGTTGTTTGCTAATTCTTTGTTTAATCAGCTTTGGAAAATCTGAGATGTACTCTCTCTGATAACTAGAAAAACGCCATCCCATACTTCCCAACATTAAAATGGGATGCAAGTGAATCTAATCGCGTGTGGATATAATCGTGTTGTGGCTCTTCAAACTGATCGCAGAGTATTTACAGTATGCAGTGTAATACATTCATCAATAATAGTCTGTATTTCAACATGATACGTGTAATAAACTATTGCGTCAACCATGCGTTTTATGTAAGGTCAATTATAGTGAAACGTAATTATTTACATAACTAAATTACACCATCTATATACATAACCATATATCACAATACATTAGACATACGTTAAATGTTTGGAAGCTACCGTAAACACATTTGGAAGTTAAAGCAAATTTATTAAAAAACATATTCTTAAAATCGTTTGCCACCTTTTTAAAGGAAAATTAATTATATCGGAATGCCTACTATTATTTTGCTAATAATCCATCTCGATCCTCGGAATTGAAATGATGTTCAAAAAGCACAAGTTTTGTAGGTTGGTCCGTGTACATTTGTATATAAAATGCTTTTTTTCATCGATATTGTGAATCTAGACTGCACACATTAAGTATAACGTTTTAAATACTATGGAGCCATCCATTTCAAACCTTGAACAAGAGTGCTGTAAGGTTATTTATAACGTACTTGTAAAATACGCCCTGTAGAAGTTAACCAGTTACATTATCTGTACATCGCAACAGAGAGTGTAAAAAAACACAAGCTAAATATATCCCCGCAGCCCGCTTTTGGAGCTATTTTAATTTGATAATTTTCTTTTCTTCAGATACATTTGTAATTGTTCCCAAGATGTTAGAACAAACGTGTAAAAGGGAATTGATAAAACAGTTAAACATGTGAAACAAGTACCTCGCTAAGATAAGGGTAAAACGCTTCCTCTGAAAAAAAAAATGAAACGATACAGTGTATTTTTTTGCAGACATTATTGATTTGGTTAATCAAGGTCGAACAACCATCAATGGAAAGCTGAGCTTCTTGAGTGCGGACTCAAAACTCAGCTTGAGGCGGCTATAAGTACGTTTGTGATACCGAAGCCAGGTACATGATATTTTCCTCTTTGTTTTCCCTTTTTTAGTATGAACATCATTTATTACAACAAGAATAGTCTTGGTTTTTCTTTCTCTCTCTGTGATGTGCACACCATTGTTTCGTTGATTTCTTGTAAATATACTTCTTTGTAATACATCGAGTATGTATCACAATGTAGGTTTCCGTATTTAACAGTTACGGTTTGCTTCCAGTTTTAACTGCTTATCATTAGCCTACACTACGATTATGGAATGTATAGTGGTGGCTACCCTTTCCTTTGTGCTGATTACTTTGTGATAATGCATAGGCACTAATTATTTGGTTTTTACCATATTGTGCTGCGGGTTTTGGCGCTTACTCTAGTGTGCTGGCTGCATTATGCTGAGAGTACGTTGCTGGTTTCTTGATGTCGAGCCTCTTGCTGAGTGTTATTTTGCCACGGCATTGTTTTGTATATTGTTGTGCTTAAATGGTACAGGTCCTTTTGTGAGTCATTGATGTTGACCTTCTTTTTCTGGTTATTTGGTGCATTGTGCTGCTTGTCTCGTGCCGGTCCTCACACTCGCTCTCTATGTTGTT